CCACTCCCACTCCCGCCCTCACTCCCACTCCCACTGCCACTCGCACTCCTCGCCGTCGAGGAGCGCGAATGCGAGGGGTGCACGGACGAGCGGGGATGCGATGGGTGTGCGGCACCAGGTCCGCTCAGGAGGACGATCCCCTCGACCTCCATCGCCATCTCGCGCTCCCGATCCGCGCGCTCGCGGTCCCGACGCCGCTGCGCCGCGCTTTGTGCTTGTGCTTGCGCGTTGCCGTTCCCAGCGTTATTAGGGTTGGCGTTATTGTTGCCGTTCCCATTCGCGATCATCGCATTCGTAATCGCGCTCGCCACCCCCACCGCCCCCGCCCCCATTCCCACTCCCCCAATCCCGTTCGCCGACGCAGAAGAAGCGCCCATAGACAGCGAGGCCGCGCTTCCAGCGACGCCCTGCACGAACCCGCCCGGCCCCAGCCCGCCGACGAGCCCCTTGCGCGCGGCGCTCTTGATGCGGCTGTGCTGCCCGCGGTGCGAGACGGTGGGGTAGCGGCATTCGATTTTGCGGCGGGCGCATTGGCTGGGAGAAAAGCGTCAGTGTTTGTATGTGGGGGTATTGGGATGATAGGAAAGAGAGAAGCGGGGAGAGGAGGGGAACGTAAAGGGCGAGAGGAGAGGAAGAGAGATAGCAAGCGAAGGAAAGGAAATAAAGTGAGGTGAGGGCGGATGTAAAGAAAGGAAGGGGGGTGGGGTGAGGAGCGCAAGATAATGAAACACATCGCGCGCGCGTAGAAAGATGGGATGGCAGAAAAAGAAACGCCACTCACTTGCACGCCCCCGTCCCCGCACCCGCGCTGCCCTCCTCGGGCCGCCCACACGCGATCTTGCGCTCGCGGCAGAAGTAGCACGACAGCGCTTGTTTCTTGGTGCGGCCGCCGGCCTGTGAGACGACAGTCAGTTTGGGTGCTGAGATGATGCGAGGGAGAAGAGCGTTAGGTAGATAGAAGGAAGGGGAGGGAGGAGGGAGTGCCAGGGCGGGGAGGGGAAGGGACGGTGGGAGGAGAGGCAGAGGTGAAAGACAGAAGAGCGAATGAGGAAGAAGCGACGCAGGCATGATGAAAAGCGGGGGTGGGGGCGTAGAAAGTAGAAAGTAGCGTAGTGAATGGGCGCGCACAAGACGCCTCGTGAAGAAAAGTCGTTGCTACTAACCTTCGCATGACTAAACTTCAGCCTCGGCGCCTCCATGCCCCCCATCCCCACCCCCATTCCACCCACGCCTAATCCACCAATAACCCCAACCCCGCTAACGATCCCCTGCGCATACGCCGCGGCGTACCCCGGCCCGTGCACCGCGAGCACGGAGGACGGGTGCGGGGCGCCGTTTTGGGTGTACGGTCCTCCTGCTAATCCTACGCCTTGAGATGATTGCAGGTAAGGCGAAGGGAAAGACGACGAGGGCCCGTGCATCTGCAGGCGTTCGGCGTGCGATATTTCTCTTGTCCCCTCCCTTCCTCCTTCCCTGCCTTCGCCTTGGGAGCGTTCACCCTGAGAGTGGGACCGCGGCGGCGCGACGACGGGCATGGGACAGTGGCGGTTCAGGTCGAGGTACACACCCGCGCCGTCCCGTTCGTCGTCGGAGACGGACGCGGAGAGCGAGCGCGAGGACGACGCCGAGAGCGACGTGGGTGGGGGCGGTGCGGAAGGAGGGGGCGGGGAGGCGGCGAAGGGGGCGCCGTCGCGCGGGTCGCGGTCTCTGTCTCTCTCCATATGCTGTCGGACCTGATCCCTCTCGCGGTCGCGGTCGTACGAAGACGAAGCGGCGGGGTGCGAAGGGTGCGAAGGGTGTGAAGGGTGCGAAGGGTGAGGGTGCGGAGGGTGCGAAGGGTGAGGGTGTGAAGGCTGGTCGACCGCCATCGGCGAGAACCGCGCGCCCTCCCTCTCCCTCTCTCTAGCCCTCTGCGCGTCTCGGTCATATGCTGAAGAAGCGGCGGCGCGTTCGCCCCCGCCATCCCGGTACGGCGAACGAGCAGGGTGAGAATGAGGCAAGGAAGACCCAGCCGGCGGATGCGCCGAAAGCGGACTCTGCGTATACCCCCCGCCCCCATACCCGCCCCCGCCCTCGTTCGGCTCGAGGAACCGACGCTTCTTCGTCGCGGGTTGTGCGTCCCTTTCTCTCTGCTCTCTCTCCCTCTGACTTTGCGCTTGCCCTAATCCTTCGCGTGGAGCTTCGCGTTGAGCCGGGAATTGGGCTTCGCGTTGAGGAGGGTACGGCGATGAGTGCAAGGATGCGTGCGGGGAATTAAGGCTGGGGTGCGACGTGTGAGGTGGAGAAAGATGCGAAGGCAACGACTGTGCGTGTGGCCTTCCCTGCTGCTGGGGACGCGGTACAGGCACAGGAAGAGGCAAAGGAAGCGACTGCGAGTGCGGATGGTCGCGCGAGAGTGGGCGGGCTTGAGATTGTTGTTGGGAAGGGTGCTGCTGCCCTTGACCTTGCGAAGGGTGCTGCTGAGATTGAGGGTGAGGGTGAGATTGGTGAGGATGAGAAGGATGGCCTTGAGATAACGGGCGCGGCAAAGGATGCGGGTGTGGGTGAGATTGGTGTGGCGACGCGTGCCCTTGCGAGCCGAGGGATATATGCCGCTGTGGCGCGTGTCTTTCTTCCCGCAATGGCATCCCTTGCGCCTGCAGACGGTGCGGAGAGCCAGACGAGTGGGGTCGCATCGGCGGTAACACCGAGCCCGACGCCTGCGGGGACCGCGGCGCCTGGCCGGAGAGCAGCCGTTGGATCCCTGAAGGACTAGACGACGACGTCGACGAGGAGAGGGACGGGCGCGGGGTCGTGGCGGGGGAGGAGTTGGCGCTGTTGCCGGCGGGCTACACACAAACAGCGCGTCAGCGCACGGGCTCGAAGTACCATAAGAGGCAGGAGAAGAATAAAAAGGGAGGAGAAGAGGAAGAAGGGGAAGAGAAACACACCTTCAACAACCCCGTCAACGGCGGCAGGTGGATCAGCCCCGCCGTGAACAGGCTGCTCCGCGGCTTCTCTCTCCCCTCCCTTTCTCTCGTATCCCTCTCGCTTACTCCTCCTCCTCCTAGACCCAAAGCTTGCGCGCCACCCTGGCCTAACCCCGCGTTAGACGAAGAGGGCGAAGACGACTTGGGCGGCGGCGGCATGGGCAGCGCGGGCCCGGGCCCGACGACCTCCTCGCAGCGCGCCTTGGCGGTGAGTTCTTTGTAGCTCGGGAGGCGGATGGGCATGGTGGGTGGGGAGCTAGTGCAGATGGGAATCAGTTGCGCGTCGGATGGAGGGAGGGAGAGGGATGGGGGTAAAGGGAGTGAAGGGAGAGGGGGAGTGGGTGTGGGCGGGAGACATAAGGATAAGAACAAGTGCGAGTACAACAAACACTGTGGCGTTGCGCCATCGCCCACCCCCAACACAAGACGTGTGTGTACACCGACCGCGCCACCGCGAAATGAAGCGAAAGGGCGGAAAGTAAGCGCGAGAGGCAGAAGGAGGCACCCACCGAACAGCAGCGTGTCCGTGTCCATGGGCATAGCGCGGGGCGACGTCCGGGCGCCCGATGGCGGGGAGGCGCACAGGGGCCGAGCTGTGTGCTGCGACCGACATTGTGCGTGTATTCGATTCGATTGTGTGTTACTTCGCGCGCGGCGCTCGAAGAGTCGAAGTTCGTTGGGTGCTTCCTGCGATAGCGTTTGTTGGCTTCTCGTCCTTGCTTCAATTCTCGCTTCAATCCGAGGTAGCCTTCCCAAGTGTTAGGCAAGTAAGAGTAAGCAAGAGCAAGCAAGTGAGATGGGAGTCGGGATAAGAGTCGGGATGCGGGACGAGGGCGGGCAAAGCAAAGCACAGCAAGATCGGACAAGCGGGGGCGGAAAAAGTATGCCACTCTCCTGCCTCCCCTCTCTTATATCCGTATTACTATCAAGCAAGGGGGATCAACGGAGCCGGGCTTATGGTCTCGCATCTCCTGTCCGGGGTCTATCTTTCTCCCAACCCCTTACGCCATGCGATCATGTCTCACTGATCACCCGTCCCCGCGCCTAATTATACACGCGCGAGCGGGGTTTCAAAGGTCGGATCACGGCGTCTCGGGGGTATTTCAAATCATTCGGATTTCTGATGGTAGCAAGTGCGCTGCGCCCACAGAGGATGCGGTGCGTGCCTCCTGTCGTGGTGTGAGCGTTCGGGACGGGAACGGGAACGGGGTGGGGTCCGTGATTGGGATCTTCCTGTGCTCTCAACTCTCTTCCCATGTCCCCGCCTTCCCACTTGCCTCCTTGCCTATTCGCATCTCTGTACTGGGCACTTGAACGAGTACAAGGAGCGGGCGGGAAGGACTTAAGAAAGCGGCTCGGCCCGCCCTCCGCACCACATCCTTACCACGTCAGGTTGCCAGGCGGCAACTGCCTAAAACGGCGCTTCCCCAATCGCGCCGCGCGTTTTCGCACGCACGATTTGGGATTTGGTCATGGGGCTTGCGGATGGAGAAGGAGAAGGGGCAAACTCCGTGATCCGCGTAGTACCGGGGTGTTGGCGTTCATCTAATTCATCTCTGGTTGCTAGCAAGACGCAGACCCAGAGCGTGCCTGGCAACTGTATCATATGTAACTGAGACGAACGCCAGAAGAGGGAACGCCGCATACGCAAAACTCGGATACTTGTTCCAGGCTTCCAGCAACAAGCTGGCGACCGGCGGCAGCCGACCGTATTTACGCGGGGGGGACCACAAGGTTGCGAGGTCATAAGGAATCGCATTGGAGAAGATTAATATTCGCTAAGGTGGTAACAGAAAAAGCACACGTCGCGAGGCAGGGAATACCTCGGCGTAACTCAACCTCTTCTTCAACAACGACAACTGAGCGCTGAGCAACCATCCAGGCTTCGCAATATCCGCTCACCGACTTCAACCGCAACCGCTCGATTGCAATATTCAACGATCCATAGCCCACCTTCCCGAAAGAAAAATCCCTTGCAGAAATCCGCATGACTCCTCCCCTCGTATGGGCAACATCGGAGCGACTTTCACCGCCTTGCTAGCTCAATCGGTAGAGCGTGTGACTTTTACGCAAGTAATTTCATAATCACAAGGTTGCGGGTTCGACCCCCGCGTGAGGCTATTCGGTTATCTTTTTGCGGTTTCTTCGATTTAATGCCTTTTCGCCGTTGCGACCTTTAATTTGTCTGTGGGGAGCTTTATTTTCTGGCCCTCGGGCTTTGGGTGCAGGGCGTCGACCGACAACTTGTGCTTTGAAGCTCTCAAAATGTTACGTGGAGGCATCACAGGAGCTCGGCGTACAGCGGGTTCTCGACTTACTTGAACGTCGAACCTGATCAGACCCGCAGTCGAATCGTGCATCCGGTTGGTACTGGCGACGAAAACACACGTGCTCTCGCCAACGCTATGTCTCAACCGTGAGCAATATCACGTCAAACCTCAGATGCGCGACCTTGAAAACGGCGCCCGGCTGGGTTTATTTGGGGCTTCGGCTCGTAGTCTGTACTGTAGCGAGGTGAGCAGCAAGATTTTTCTTGGACTAATGTCTCAACACCTTGACCAGAATGCAAACACCGCCGTCAACGTTGCTCACTAACCAGTGGGAACTCGTCTCTGTGGTATGCGGGACTTCGGTTCAGGGACGTCGTTTGAGGCGAACCGCAAGTGTTTTATCTTCTTGGACACATATCTCAACACCTTCATTGACGATTCTTTCCCCAGGAGGTACACACCGTCGTCAAGGACTGTTCAAACTGCTGAAGTTGTTGACTAAACAAACCCGAGACGAAGGCACAGTGCTCAACGTTGCTGGTTTATTCAGGACTTTGGCTCCGGAACGTCGTTTCAGACGAACAGCAAGAAATTTTGAAGGCTCATTCGACCAGAACGTACACGCCGTTGCCCCGTGCAACGAAACGAAGCCAGTGTAAGACAGCTTGAAGCCCGTTCGGTTCAGCTTCACCTATAAATTCGATGCGCAAACACCAAAGATGGATTCTTGTATTGACGGTGAAATTGTCCTGCGCTGAGTCCATGGCCAGTTTCCAACGAGTTTAAGCCAATCCCCAAGTTGAACCTTAATCACGTCCGTGTCCACCTCGGCACCGGCGGGCAAACCCAGCTTCCATCCATGCGCAAAGTCGCGTATAAAATGTCAGATTTAACCATGAAAGTGAGAGAACCCGACGGCGCCAACCGAAGCGCGTAACATACTTGCAATTTTCAACCATGCGGAAAGTCGCGTAAAACGCGATGTTAAACGAGCAAGATCGGAACCCCGCGGCCGCTGTTGGTCCGTTGCTATTAGGGATTTCGGCTCCGCAACGTCCTATGTAACCAGGTGAACCAAAGGTGAACAGCAAAAGTTCTTTTTTGAACCCATGTCAGCCCAGAAAGTACACGCCGTCGGCGCGTGCAACGAAACGAAGCGAATGTTAGGTTAGGCAGCTTGAGGTCGGCGTCACTTCGGCTCGTAACGTCGTTTGAGGCGAACCGTGAGTTCTTTCTTCAGTGTGTCTCAACACCCTCATGGACCTATGCCCGGAAAGTACCCGCCGTCGGCTCGTACTACGAAAGGAAGCGACTGTTTGGGCGGCGTGAGTTCGGCGTAGCCGTGTTCAGTTCAACTTCAATTAACTTCGACTTCAATTATGTATTCCCCTCGCGACACCCGCAGACGCCGTACCGTTGAGTATGGATTGTTGAAACAGGGCATGTCCGCCTCAAAAAAAAATGCGCTACTTTGAATGACGAAAGTGCCATCTCCGTGGCCACGGTTGCTGCTGGTTTACTCGGGAGTTCGGCTCCGGGAGGTCGTATGCAGTGAGTTGAATTCCGGGGGCTGACACCCATTGCTCCAAAATGTAGACGCCGTCGGCCCGTACAACGAAAGGAAGCGATTGTTAGGTGGCGTGAGGTCGGCGTAGCCGTGTTCAACAGTTCGGCTTCAAATCAAATTACTTCAAGTCCAATTACCTACCCATCGCCCTCGCGACACCCGCAGACACCGCAGTACGGTACAGCTAAGTATGAATCGCTGCTGAAACAGTGCATGTCCGATAGATTCAGGGTTCAGCCACGATGTGAACAGCAACAAATTACATGTAAACATGAGCATCCACATGCCTCTTTGCCTGAAAAGTATTCACAGCCCTCAGTGCACCATTTTTCTCCAATACATGATATAATCCCGTGTTGAGCGTCTGGACAACCACTGGAAACCCCGAGCGGCAACCGTGGTCCACGCAATCGTTTTGGAATTACTTGATCAATCGTTCTTCGCATTCTTGTTGAATGAAGGGAGTGCAAATCGAGATATTTATGTGTTCACTCGATTGCAAACGAGGCTCTCCAGCTCCCATAACCAACCGATCGACCTACTGAGCTGAAATTGCTGCTGCACTTCACCGGCAAGTAGCAGCGCTGTGCTACTGTATCAGCCGGAAGATTCTTGACTTCTCTGACATTTGCCGTACCCTCATGCTATGTACACTACAACTGCCAACCTCCCGCGGTTCAAATTTGCTCTCATGTCGCGATCTCCCCTTTCGTTAACCGCCTTGCCGCTACGCGGTTTCCGCTACCGAACGGACACAGCACTCACATTGCCTCAGGTTGTCCACTTCCTAGAAAGTAAACGCCGGTCGCTCGTTAGTAACCCGCCCGAGCTGAAGTGAGAGACTGGGGTTGCAGAGGGAAGGCGGAGTGTAAGAGTCCGTACCAGGGAAACGAGTCCCGGATCCAATGAGCTAGGCCACTAGCACAGAAGGAGATCACCGTTGTCCAAATTTCAACCAACGTTCTATGCGGGTTAGAGATTCATTAATCGCTCTTCACCGAATGGCGCGTACTATCCAATCCATGACGGTTCTTGGCGCCGCAAGACAAGGGGAAAAGTGTTTCAACCTTCTTCTCAAGATCTGGCCCAGGTGGTATTTCCTTCCAAAAAACGGATGGCTGCGTGACCAAACACCCTGAAACTAAGCGTCCTCGCATGTGCTGCGGGTCGGTTGGGTACTGTATTGAAATCATCAACATCGTGTCTCTCCCCATTTGCCTGTTGGCGCGTGCTGTATCTTGGGTCCTAGCGCTTAGGCCTTGACACAAGCACAGGTTGACTATCAAATTGCGTTGGCCGCCTGCGTCCGGAGGCTATTTGTCGCCGAGTAAACACCCAGTAGATCGAAACCGCAGCTGCACCTTTCCGCGGAGTTTTGTAGACGTTGATTGTGCACTTTGACTTGTTTCAACAGCGTGTTGAATTTGATTCCTCTCGAAATTCGGCTCCCAAAACCCCTGCGAACTGAGTTATCGACCAATCTCCATTGTCTGTGTACCTGGGGGATGGGATCAGCCTTACCTTTGTATGGCCCTCACGTCGGAGTCCTGAACGAAAATTCAAATTCAAAAGCTTATCAAAATTTGACATATCTGGAAATTCAGCCGGCGTTGCAACCAAGGAAGACAAAAAGGTAACCGCATAGCCCCACGCGGGGGTCGAACCCGCAACCTTGAGATCAACTCTTGTAGTAAGAGTCTCACGCTCTACCGATTGAGCTAGCAAGGCGGTGAAAGCCGCCTTCATTGTTGCTATTACTACCAGTATAGACTCCGAATTCAAAGCCTTGTGTTGAGATTTTAAGTTGTTGAACTAAAGTGCTCTTCGCTAGTGAATATGACAACGTCTGGATTCGGGCCAGAGTTCCGACCTATGATCTGAAGCTATCTCACGGGCCGAAGAACGTCCAGATTGAACTTCAAGACTCGTAAGTGCGATACAAAGCACTCAGGTTGAATGGGGAACTGAAATCATCTTTCATCATTCTCCTCTGCGAAGATTGCGGCAACTTGCGAATAGTTTCCCCTGAGCATGCATCCTGGACTTTGTTCAAATCTTATCCAATGATGAGCAGTAGTAAGGAACGCGACAGAAGGACCGTGGTTGAGAATGTGAGTATCTGAAATTTGAACCACACCGTCCCCTCGGCCCGTCACTTCACTCTGTCCCCGCACCCCGCTCCGATGTTGTAACGCCGTCTACCCGTTGATAATAATGTTTCCTCGTGCTTTGGTGTACGTGCGGTGTTCTCGGCCCTCGGGCTCGGGCTGAGCTTAGTGAGCAACAGGGGTATCCTTTCTAGGGAAGGGGGCATGTGGATGGATGAAAACCTTTACCGCAGTTCACGACAGCGGAACATTCTGTAAGTATTTCGTTATCTTGGTGCTGATATATACTTGGTAGACAATCGGTAAATACAATTCCAGTCTCGACACCGGGCGCCTCTGCCTTCAATTGTTCGGAGATGAAGCCGTTCTTCGAACGCGGAGAATTGCCGACTCAAACATTGAACAGTGAACATTGATTTACATACAAGTCTCCGTACCCTCCGTAATTTATTACCGTCATCGACATCCACCCCCGATTATTATTTGCCACGAACTGCGCACGGTGATCCGTCTTGTCTCGTAAGTTTTCAAGGGCGGGTTACTGTGTTATTTGGGTACCTACGGAGTTGCCGGTGTCGATTATCGCGGGGTTTCCCCTCTCGTTGGTTGACGACGCATGATGAGCCGCAGATTGTCACCAATATTCCGAGAATTCC